CACTCACTCATGCACTCACTCACTCATGCACTTACTCACTCATGCACTCATGCACTAACTCACTGAGTACCTATAGAATCTTCTTATAAGTTATATATTATAACTCATATATATGATATATTGTCATGTTGTATCTTATATAAGGCTTTTATTTTTAAATCTACCCATTAAGCCATCTCCCTCACCCCAGTTTCATTTGTTTGGGGATGGAGATCTTTTGCGTACCACAGCACCTATGTAGACGTCAGAGAACAAGTTTCTGGTGTTGCTTCTCACTCCTTATTATGGTGTGGGATCTGGGGATTGAGTACAAATCTTCAGGCCTGAACGCCAAGTGCTTTTACCCACTGAGAAAACTTTTGGGTCCAGATAATGCGCATTTTATTACTTATGATACAGTATAATGTGGATTGAGTGTGCAGGTCTGGAGGGCAAGCTCTTTGTGGGACCTTTGGCAAGTTGCTCAACCGCTTCCTACATCAGCTTTCATCTGCAAAATGGGGACAGTGGAGAGTTTCCACTTAGGAAGACCGAATCACCCAGCACGGGGCACGTTTTGCACTTACTGTTGCTGGATATTCTTATTCTTATTCTTATTCTTTTGGTTTCTCTGTGTAGCTTTGGAGCCTATCCTGGCACTCGCTCTGGAGACCAGGCTGGCCTCGAACTCACAGAGATCCGCCTGCCTCTGCCTCCCGAGTGCTGGGATTAAAGGCATGCGCCACCAACGCCGGCTTATGTTGCTGGATATTATTACACAGATCCTTTTGCTGATGGATCTGCACTAGTCTTTCATAGTCTGTTGAACTCTTTGGATGTTTCAGCATCCCAATACTCTGACCTGGCTTCTTTCTTCTTCTCTCTTGCCTTTTCTCTTCTTTTGACTCATGGTGCCTTCTGCCAGGATATTAAGGCCCGCTCAGTGGCCTGGAAGACTGGAGGTGTGTGCTCCACTAAGGTCGGCAGTCGGCTTGGGAACACGAAGAAGAACCGCTACAAAGACATAGTGCCATGTAAGTCAGTGGATAGGGAGTCAATACCACTTTCAGGAATGCTAGATGGCAGAGCCCCAGTGGCAGAAGCTACCCACTGCTGGCCCCAAGAGCTCCCCAAAGCATTCTAACCCCCCCCCCAATACTTGAGGCAGCTGCATTATTCCCTGAAGCCACAAGGGACAGTGCTCTGCTACCCTGCTTGCTTTCGCCTGGGGTACTTGGCCTACATCTCTCCATGTGTCTCACCCACTGGCAGATGATGAGACGCGTGTTATCCTTTCCCTGCTGCAGGAGGAGGGACATGGAGATTACATCAATGCCAACTTCATCCGGGTCAGGCTAGTAACTAGGGAAGAGGTGGCTTGGGCAAGGGTGGGGAGGGTGGGCTTCAGGATCTTGTAAATGAATGGGTCTTTCCCAGGGCACAGATGGAAGCCAGGCCTACATCGCAACACAAGGACCCCTGCCTCATACTCTGTTGGACTTCTGGCGCCTGGTTTGGGAGTTTCGGGTGAAGGTCAGCTTTGAGGGACAAAGGGGCATGGCTCTGGGTCTCCCTCCTTCCTGTTTCTCCTTACCAACGGCCCCCTTCCTTGTCTAGGTGATCCTGATGGCCTGTCAAGAGACAGAGAATGGACGGGTATGCACCCTCAACCTCCCAGCATGCAAGGAAGGCTTGTGTAGGGAGGAGGGAGAAGGAATTTTGGGGTCTCCTTCTTGTCCCTAGGACCCTGGGCCCAGTCCTTGGCTGACTCCACTATAGCTCTGCAAAAGCCGCTAGTCATAGTTTTATCTTGAGCTTTCATTGTTTTGTTTTTCTGAGACAGGGTTTCTCTGTGTAACAATCCTGGCTGTTCTGGAACTCACTTTGTAGACTAGGCTGGCCTGGAACTCACAGAGATCCACCTACCTCTGTCTCCTGAGTGCTGGGATTAAAGGAGTGCTCAACCACCACCTGGCTGCCTTGATCCTTTTGCTTTTGATCATGGCGTTGTCCCCTCAGTGCTGTCAGCCTGGGCTTTCCACCAGCCCATGACATGGTGGAGGACCCGAAATGAACAGTTTCACCTCTGCTCTTTCTGTCCTCCTCCCTGCTTTACATATGCTGGTCTTGGCTATTCCTCAGATGAGCCGGAGAGGGTTCTGCTCCTGCCAGTGCTATGGCTGTCCTCTGCCTTAGACATTGCTTGCTCAGTTACCTGGGTAGTCACATGGCTTCCTGCTCCCCAGCACGCCCACCTGTAACTCCTTCCTTTTCTACCTCAACAGTTCTTATCCACCTCAATGCGCTGGATAATTCTAAATGTGAAATACACATGACAGTAATATGGTTACGCTACACAAGCTATTGTTTTTGCTACACAAGCTAATGTCTTTTTACTGGAATCCAGTTCACCTGTTTAGCCAGTCATAGCAGCTCCCTCCTCTGCTTGCAGTACTTAGGAGGCCAAAGTGAGAGGATGGAAAGTTGAAATCAGCTTGGGCAACTTAGGAGACCATCAACATTTCCATCAAGCCGTTAGCAGTCACACCCCATGTTTAGAGCCACAGGCAACTCCCTAGTCTAGTTCCGATCACTGCAGGTTTGCCTATTCTGCCTGCTTCACATACAGTGGAATTGGGCAGCCTGCGTCTTTTGGGCCTGGCTTCTTTCTCTTTGTGTTTTTGGCTCGTGCATGTAGCAGTGTGTTCATGGTTCACTCCTTTTTGTTGACGAATAGTGCCCCATTGAATGTTTCTACATTTCACTCCTCTAAGCAGTTTGTAGATGCTGGGTTATTCAAGTATTTTGGCTTCAATGAATCACCCTGGTATGAACATTCATATGCAAGTCTTTGAGTGGACATCAACTTTCGTTTCTCGAGTATATATGGGGTGGAATTGCTGGGTCATGGAGGAACTCTATTTTTAACTCCATTTTAAGGAAGTGACAAACTGTTTTCCATCGTAGCTGCATCAGGTTGCGTTTTCATCCACAATGCATGATAACTCTGGTTTCGTTAGGTCCTCGCCAGCATTTGTTATTCTCTTTTTAAATACATTTCACTTACTGGGTGTGGGGCATGTGATGCGTGCATGTGTATACTGTGGAATGGAGGTGAGAGAAAACTTTGGGAATTAGTTCTCTTTTTCCACCATGTGGCTCCTGGGACTGAACACAAGGTCAGTCCCTGGCAACAAGTGCCTTTTTCTGATGAGCCATCTTGCCTGCTTTTTTCTCTGTATAGCCATTGTTGGGAATACGAAGGAGTCTCTAATTGGGTCTTTTAAAACATATAAAAATACATATAAACATAAAATTTGCCTTTTAAGATCTGAAAAGATGTTTGAAAGTTAAGAGTACTTGTTGCTCTTATAGAGGACCAGAACGCAGCTTACAACTGCCTGTGTCTCCAGCCCCAGAGGGATCTGATGCCCTCTTCTGGCCTTGTTAGGCATCCAAACACATCTAACATACACACACACACACACACACACACACACACACACACACACACACACAGCATAAAGCCCCTCTTTCCCCTGAATTGCCTTCTGTTTCTGGTTTATTTCACTTGATGTTTTCAAGGTGTGTCCATGTTGTCACATCAGAATTTCATTCTTTTTAAGACTGACTATGCCATTGCTTTATGTCATATTTCCTTTACTGACTCATGTGTTGATAGACATTTGGGCTGCTTCTACCTTTTAGACTACTTTGGATAATGCTGTTTGCACACACTGGTGAACAGTTATCTGTTTGGTTCTGGGTTTTGTTTTACTTCACTTATGTGTGTCAGTGTGTACTTGTGTCTGTGTGTCAGTGTACCCATGTGTGTGGTTATGGATGTGGCACCCGTGTGCATACATCTCACTATGTCACCCTGGCTGGCCTGGGACTCAATGTGTGGACAAGGTTGGTCTCAAACTCACAGAGATCCACCTGTCCCTGCCCCCTGCTCCTGCCACATTGCTAGGTTTAAAAGGCTTGTGACACTTTGTCTGAATTCTTATTCCTTTTGAAGCAGTATATATGTCCCTGAACTCAGTGCTTGAATTTTCCCAGTTAGCTTCGAAGCCAGCAAGCCCCAGAGATCTTCCTGTCTCTGCCCACTCTGAGCTGGGGCTGCAGGTATACAGAGGATGCCTGGCTTGTTATATGGGCTCCGGGATCTGAACTCCAATGCTCATGGTTGTGCAGCAAGCAAGCACTCCTAATTGCTGAGCTATCTCTTTAGCACCCTCTACTTTTAGTTCTTTTAATGTAACTCTGCAGTAGAATTGCTGTTTAATTTTTTTTTCCACAGTGGCTATACCTCTAATGATTCCACCAGCTAGGGGTTTGAGTTTCTCCATATGTTCACTAACACTTCCTATTTGTGGGTGTGTGTGTGGTGTGTGTGTGTGTGTGTGTGTGTGTGTGTGTGTGGTGCTTTTGCACACACATATGGAGGCCAGAGGAGGATGTCAGGTATCCTGCTTTATCAGCTTTATCAACTTTCTGCCTGTTGCCCTAGAGACAGGGTCTTCCACTTAGCCTGGAGCTAGGTTTGCAACCAAGCCCCAGTCATCCTCCTGCCTCTGCCTCTACAGTGCTGGGGTTACAGGTGCAACCCAGTCTTCCCATGTAGGTACCGGGTGTTTGAATTCAGATTCTCATTCTTGTTCATCAGTTGCCCTTACCCATGAACCCTCTCTTCAGCTCAACAGTCATTATTTTACACTTCCCACTCATTAAGAAAACCACTCACAGGAATAGAGAGATGGCTTAGTGGTTAAGAGTGCATTCTGCTATTGCAGAGGACCAGAATTTGGTTCTTAGCACCAACATCAAGTAGCTCACAATCACTTGTAACTCCAGCTCCAGGGGATCCAACCATCCTGGGCTCTGCAGGCGCCTGCATTCACATACACATGACCTCCCCAATTGAAAATAATAAAGATAAATCTTTTTTTTTTTTGAGACAGGGTTTCTCTGCATAGCCCTTACTATCCTGGAACTCACTTTGTCAACCAGGCTGGCCTTGAACTCAGATATCCACCTGCCCCTGCTTCCTTATTGCTGGGATTGAAGGCGTGTTTTTATCCTGAAGCTATGTTGGTTTGTCAAGGTTTTTGCCCCTCCATCTATTCATATGACCCAGTGTTTTTTGCTATGTAGTCTATTAATATGATATTTTACACCAACTGGTTGTTTTTAATCATCTGTCTCTTCCTGCCTCCCTC